CCCCGACCACTTCAGCGGCCACCAAGCTGCCATACAACAGGACCTGTGGTGTAGTCATGTCAGTATTGCCAACCATGCGTGCCCCCTAGTGTCGCTCTTTCGAATCTCCGAACATTAATAAGGTACTCCACGTCCCGCCAAGGTGGTGTTGTCCTGTGCCCCGACTGTAAACCCTTTGGATACACAGCATGCTTGTTGCACAGCGCTTTCGCATTACAGCGAAGCTGATTTGAAATCTGCTACGGCCGCAAGTGGATTGACACACGACAGCGCTAGTTCGAGCCTAGGAGATGATTGACATGGCAGTAGTGGTGACTTCAGTTATTGTGGTTTCAGGTACGCACTCTGAGCACAGTCAGAAAAATTAAACTACAAAGATTTTCACTGTCAGAAATTTCAGATGTTTTTATACAGTATCTTTATGGGGCTTAAGGCAGTCCCGTACAAGCGTCTCAATTTCAAAAAATGTCTTAAAAAATTTGAAGCTGTGTTGTCCTTATTACTGATGCATGTTTGGCATATCCCATCCGACATTATAGTTGGTTCGAAACAGCATGCCGCCACCCCCCCCCCCCCCTACCCATTTTGCTTTTCTTTTTGAAACCTATATATAACAGTGGTCAATTGGATCAAAGGAACTTTTGCGGCACTTGAGTATTGTTATGTGTTTCAAATGAGGATGTCATTACATGATACAAAATACTCAAGATATGAACTGTTAGAACCCAAGTGCACTAGCATTTGTTTTCAATGAAGCCTGTAAAACCTCAATGCTGTGCTGCCTCATCAGAGTTGTTTTGCCTTGAGCAACTTTCTTCTAGTGCTGCAGAAAACTTCAGTGGCAAGCAGAAGTAATAATAACGGTGGAAAGTGGTTCCAGAACTGACAAAATGGTACATTGAGACTGTTGTAGTATTGCAAACTCTTTTGGGACAGATCCACTTCAAGCAACGCTATAGCCGCCAAACATCAATAGACATTGTGCAAGCTGTCGTATACCAGTGTAGAATAACTGTTTAACTACTGTTGTAAAAACATGTTTTACTTTCTCATTATAAGAATTTCGATGATGGGGGTATCAACCATATTTTAGCTATATTAAGGTTTTGTGACGTTTTATAGAAGCCTAATTTTTCTTGCACTGGAAGTTCTTTTTTAGTTGTGCCAACACACAATTTCTACCCCTTATGTATGCTTGTGGGAGCGCACGTATCTGTACTCATATATATATTATGCAGACCACTTATTATGTAACTACTTATAGCGCAGGACTGCTTGTAAGGCGGTCTTTTTCAACTCCTGTTTTCCTTCCTATAGAACCTCATATGTAGGCATACTGTTTTTTGTTCAGTACCTTGAAATAGAAGACCAGTTATTATGCAGTTGCTGGAAAGTCTTTCTGACAAACGCAGCTGCGAGTGTGCTTCGTAAAGGAGGAGCATCGCTGGGGAGAGAGTGACAAGGTTGTTACGAAGGGCAAGGTGACCGCGTATCAACAAACAAGGGGTGAGGAAAGGGAAAAAAAAAAAAAGGGAAATGACCGCAGCAGCGCCGCGTGAACTCGCAAAGTGAGGAAGGGAGGCGGCTGCCTAGGCAATGGAGAAGCCTTATGTGCTGGCCCCAGCGTGGCTCTGGCCGCTTGCCGGGTGCGTGAGGTATTGTACGAAACTTGCGATTGCGTACTCATTAAGTGCATTTTGAGTTTTCTGTCAGGAGAAGCGTCATTGTTATTGAGCTTGCTACAGATATCGTGTTTGCTACCTTGTCTCCAAATTTAAAAGTTTTACTACGGAAGCTAGCACCTTAACTACAGAAATCGACACGGCAGAAGAAACAGCGATAGCAGTCTCAACCTGTACTGACACAATAGCAATTCTAACCGATTCGCAATCAAGCCTTAGAAATTCTTGCCACTGCAGCAAAAATGAATCTACCTGACACGTACATCGTTTGTACTCCAGGACACCAGTCCCTGATGGGAAATGAGGCAGCCAATGCTTTCTCCCTAGCGCATGTTCACCGGGCCAACTCACAAGAAGCACTAAAGAGGAAAGAAGGTGTACCTAGAAAGTACAACGACATACTGCAGCAGCACTACAGGCTGAACAGAAGACTTTATCCACCAATTTATCCCAGCCTGACTCGGGGAAAAAGCAGTAACCCTCAGGAAGCTGCAAACTAACACCTACGTTCACGGTACGCTGCTTCACCGCATCTCACCAAACGAGTGCTTATACAGCTGCAAGCACTGTGATGTCCCAGAAACCCTATTCCATCTGGTATGGGGATGCAGACAAAGCCCTGGAGGCACTACACTAACCAAAGAGCAGTGGCAGACCAAGTTATCAGACCAAGGCCTGAAGAATCAGCGCAGCATACGCACGAGAGATGGTGAAGGCCCGCGGTTACCTGGAATAAAAAGGCCGCCCACTTTGAGCGCATAATTTGTTTGCTCAAATAAAAGTTCATTCTCTCTCTGCATTATGATGCAGCTCTGCCTTTGCTGCCAGCGCGTGAACTTACACAAACTTGGCGGTGTCATTATTTTTTTTTTCGTTGATCTTTTGTTCGCGAACCCAAACTACGTGTCAAGCATGCTTCTCTTGGGTCAGTGCTTGAGTACCACCTTCTCAACGCCTGATCTTCATATTGTCTTGGACAAACTTCCCGCAACAACATGCTGAGCGACAGGCTGGGCCTAATTATTGATAGTTGCTTTTTGGTAGTGGTCGGATACGATCAGAGTTGTTCTTAGGTACAGAATCAGTGACACTCCTTGTGGGGACAGCACTTGAAGGAAAGAGAAATTATATTGTTAATGGAACATTCTAATAGTGGTTCGGGGTTTTATTGCAATGTCTTGAACATCGGGTGCCTGCCAGCGAAATCAAGCGATCAGCATCATTCAACATGCGAAGCTTCGGTCATGACTCAACATAGTTTCTGTGTAATCAAGGCGGTCTGAAACATAGCTGGCGAATTTCTACAGTGGCGTTGCCTTTCTTTCTTACTTTTTTCTCTTGTTCATTTCATTGGCAACGCGGGTCTTTGGATGCTCATTTTCGAACATTTGGAAATTTTAGTGGTTGTAAGCCACCGACATTCCATGTCTCAATTTTCGGTCATTCGAGGCAGCATTTTTCATACGTTTTACGCAAGCATACCCTTTGAAGAAGGTTGTTTTGGTTAAAGTGCGGTACCACTTATAATGCGGATATTTGTTACTCCGGTGACTTAAGTTGTAAGCCGTCTATGCTGTATATGACATACATACTCATAAAAATGTAAAAATTTCGGAACGCTTGAATGCTTTTCTGGCCATGGCCAATGCTTTCTAACCTTTTCTTTTTTTTTTCACTGTTTCCTAAATGAAACCTTATAAACATGAGTGTGGCGAAAGATTAAAACACATTTCTCACAGCATTGAAGGGGATTTTTTTACATTACCACTGTTGAATTGGGCCCGCATACTTCCTATTTTGTTGTCATCTTTCACTTTATATCTATCTTTCCATCGTTATGTTGCAAGTACCAGAAAACTGTTGAATGAGGCATTTCCCTGTAAAAATTTTCCGACTTGGTTGTGTTCTCTCTTCTTTGCTATTATCACTCGAGAACAAAAGTGCATGCCTGCCAAGTATTTCAGATTTTTTAGGAGACTCTCGAATTTCGACCAGTTCTTATGTTTGTAAGGTTGTCCTGAAAATCTCTCGGAAATCGAAATTTCTGTGCGTGATCTGGCTACATTGGCAAACATGTAGCCCAGTCCGATCCAGGCTTTGTGCGAACTTATTGCTTATTTTGTGAACCAATTTAGGAGACATTCATATAATCGTACAGTAGAATCTCAATGATGCGAGTTCGACAGACAAGAATTTTGAAATTTCTCACCCAAGTTTCACAACGTTCATTGGGCCAAGATTCGGATGTTCCGAAAACTTTTCCTCATTGCGGCAGGTCGTATGAACCTTAGTACCGTAACCGTCGAACAAAAGCTAAGAGCAGTGTGCTCGAAGCTTCGAAATGATGTGCGTAGCCAGTGCACGGACTGTCAGAGCTGTGGTTATCGTTTGCCATAACTGCTGTGGATGAAACTGCGGTCGTTCTTGACACAATCATGTATGGCAATGACATAACTGACAACTCCGAAAGTGCATGTGCGTTCATCGCCCGACCAGTAAAGGACATTGCCTTCCACAAACGCTGCGTACAAAACTGTGGCAGCTACTTGGTTTTTAAAGCAATATGCGCAGCCAGTGCACGCGGATTCAAGACAGAACTATCGTTTTCCACAGCCGCCACACGTGAAACTGCAATCTCGGCGATGTGATCATCAATAGCGACTACTAGTTAACACAGGCAATAAAACACGCGGCTAACACAGGCAATAAAAACGTAAAAAAATGCTAGAAGCGTTTTGGCATTCCTGTCCAAAGAATATGTTAACGTTGTTCCTATCGATCTGCTATATTTTTTGACATTCAGTTTTCGGTTGGCCGCAAGTGAAGCTTCGACCCGCACTTTCCTAGCAGCTGACTTTGCCATCCCATCCGTTAACGTGTGTCCCAAGAATACATCTGCGAGCTCTTTGGACAGATAAAGATTTTGCTAATTGTTTTGATGACGTGCAATTTAAAGAGACGTGAATATTTGCGCACCCCCTTTCAGACTACGCACTTTCTACTGTAGTTGAAAAACCCTACCCTTGTGTGCTCAGCCATTCCAAACCGTTGAAGAATGCAAGGCTGATGTATACAAACTTCCTCACTCCTTCATTTTTTCCGCATTTTGTTTTTTTTATTATTTTTCTGCCAAACAAAGGAGGCAAATAAATTGGCGCGATGCCCCCCCCCCCCCCTCTGAGTTGGGGAAATCTCCCAGATTCAGAATCCTTGAACTTGGAAGGTATGATAATACTGATACCAATAAAACCTTCACCTTAGCTCGTTTTCCCTGCATGTGTGCTCCATGTATATTAACAGCTGTTTGCTTCTTTGCAGTTGTATGCAGTGATAAAAAAGGTGCTGCAGCAGCTAGGGCCATTTTTGAACAAGCTCTTGTACGGCTCCCAACAGGTTAGTGATCTGGTACCATTAAGTGCGGAAGTTTATGAACATGATGCGGGACATTGTTGTGTAAATAATGTGCATGAGGTGAGAGCAAGGTTCTGGCAGGACGCTGTAAAATTGTGGATGCACAGGTACGTTTGGTCAAAATTCCTAGCCAATTCATTACTTCCTTCGTACGTGAGACAAGCAGCTCATGTTTGAAAAAGTTCTGACATGAAAATTTTCAGTTGTATGTGTTGAATGACAGGTGAAGCTCTCAAGGGCCTGGAAATTGCACTGCTAAGCTTGAGTGCACCTTGAAAAAATTATTGCAGCATGTTTCTAAAAAGTAGGTTTGGTTTCTGCTGTACATTGACATCACAACATGGTATGAGCTTCTTGAAACATGTTCACGCTAGATATCGGGACATTTCTACACCCGTTCCTCACAGTGGCTCTATCGGTGACTCACCAGCAGTCATTGTATTAATGAGACTTAGCAGACAATCGTGCCAAAGAAAGTATAGGGGATGTTATTACAAGTATTGCAACGTAAATGCTAACAAAGAAAGGTGGATGAAAAGAGCTTGCCGTGGTTAGGGACTGAACCTATGACTTTTGAATGATGCGTCTAATGCTCTACCAACTGAGCTGCCACAATGGCTGTCATCCTGTCAACGTTATGTGGTATATATGTGCATTTAAACGTGAGAGCGTCAGTCAGCACTGCTAGTGGCGATAACGGCGGATGTGGAACACTCTTTATCAACCTGTTTGGCTTCACATAGCACGTAAAATCATTACGAGCGGGCAGCTGACAAATAATCTCTCGTATATTACCTGAAGGCACAAGTGTGCCGGAACAAGACCCTCGCTACGAATAAAAGAAATCAATACATATATTAAAGACTCGTTTTCTTTGTTAGACACAATATTGATGAGAAACAACAGACAATCATGGCAAGGAATGTTACCCACTTCTCTTTTTTAACATTCACATTACAATTACTTCTAATAACATCCCTTATACTTTTCTTGGCTTGATTATCTGTTAGGCCTCATTATTAATATGTCTAACAAAAAAAATTAGCCTTTAATAGGTATATTTATTTCCTTCATTTGCAGCCATTTTGCAAGTTGTGGTACCTGATGTCGTCACAGCTAGTGAGAGTGCTGCATAAGAATTTACTATGTACCCTGACATCAGGCTAGCATCGATGCTGATAGATGCGCCATGGGACAGTCAATCTTAATCTCAAGATGAAGTATCCTATCACTGCTTGCTGAGCTTCACACTTGCTCAGACCTGTCTATGTATGCAGGAGATTCTTATGGGGGAGTACCGTAATTACTCGAATCTAACGCGCACCTTTTTTCCGGTTAAGTGAGTTCATAAATCGCATGCGCGTTAGAATCGAGTACGAACAAAAAAATTACGGCCAATCTATTGCCATCGGCAAATCTAAAATGGCCGCCCCCTACGTGCGTCGGCATGGCGCGTCGTCCATTTCTGCCTATGTGTTTCTCATGTGCGGCACTTCGTACGTGTGCTAAGGAATTCGTCATCTAGTAGTGCATTAGCATCGACGGCGTGGAATGGCCGACTCCAAAAACTCGAGTGCACCATGATGCCGCTTTTAAAAGAAAAGTCATCGCGTGTGCAGAAACGGACGGAAATCGGGCCGCATCGCGGTCGTTTGGAGTTCCCGAAACGTGCGTGCGGGACCGGCGGAAACAAAAGCAGAAGATTTTCGACAGCAAAGCTCTACGCAAAGGCTTCAGTGGACCACAGCAGGGTCGGTTTCCGCAAATTAAAGAGCTGCTCGGCGAGTATGTGCTTTAGCAGCGAGCAGCACAGCGGCCCGTGACGGCAGAACTGCTCCAAGTGCGGGCTATGCAATTAGTCTTAGAAAAGTGTCTAATGCGGAGCCAGTTTTAAGCGAGCAGGTGCTGGCTCACTAACTTTATGAAGAGGAAAGGCTTTTCCCTCCGAAGGGGAACATGCATATGCGAAAAGTTTTGCGGAGGAGTACGATGAAAAGCTTCACAGTTTTCAGAGGTTCGTCCTAAACTTGCGGCGCAACAACGACTACCTGCTTGGGCAAATCGGGAATGCCGATCAGGCGCCTCTTTACTTCGACATGCCTGGCACCACAACCGTCGAGAAGAAGGGGGCGAAGCAAGTTCGCGTGCTGACATCGGTCCACGGTAAAACTACAGTGACGGCAATGCTCTGTTACACGTCAGATGGGCACAAGCTTCGCCCGTACCTCATATTTAAATGGAAGACGCTCCCGAAAGGAGTCGTTTTTTCGAGTGGTGTGATCATGCGGGCCAGCGAGAAAAAATGGGTGCGCGTTGCAATCGATGTCTTACGTTTTTTTTTTTTTTTTTCGCGGTGGAAATCGGGTGCGCGTTACAATCGAGGGCGCGGTAGAATCGAGTAAATACGGTAAACATGCTAGGAAAATGGGCAGTACCCTTTTATATTATAATGGCCAGAACATATTTGTCACATATTTCTTCTGGTGCATGCTGTCAGCAATAGCATAGTCTTTAAGATTGGTGTCTGTTGCTAAGGCCCTAATTGTGAACACTTGTGCAAAGTTGTGGGCAGCATGGTTGGGCTCTCGTGGTGTTTTCAGACTTTACTTTTGACATGACTACGTTGTGAAACTCGAAAGTGCTCTTCGGTCCTAGTGAAAGAGGACAGGTTAGCTGCTATTAAGTGCTGTTCTGGGAGATATTCTCGCAGGTTTCATGTTCAGAGTTATGAAAAAAATAAAAATTAGTGCAGCTTGCATTCGGTCATGTAAAGCTGGATGACAGCAGAGCTGGTGAGTCCTGGCGCAGCTAACCTTTTACCTGCCTCTTTCCCACCCCCTGATATGCTATACTAGTGTACGTCCCAGCCCTTGCTAATCTTTCCCACTCCTTGCTGTGCAATACAGTACATCCTGTCCCGTACTATGCTATACCGTATATCCCACCCCGTAATCTCACTCTTTGACACGCAATACTCTACGTCACACCCCTTGCTATGCTATGGTATACGTGGCTCGCACGGTTGCAGCTGTAAAGAAACATTTTTTTTTTTACATTAATAGGTGTTGTCTTGCTCTCTGTCGCAGAGACAATGTGGAAACTCTATATTCAGTTCCAGTTGGAACTTCTGGAGCAGTCTAGTAGTGAAAAGCAAGCAGCAAAGGTAATAATCGCATGCTTTGTTTATTTGGGATACATGTGATGGGCTTTCTATTGTTTGTTGTCTGTGTAAGGACATCATTATACAGAGTCAATTACTCACACTGTGTTAAAATTTGTGAGATGGGGGGGGGGGGGGGGTTGCTTGTGAAGAAAGGTAGAAACCTATCACCTGATAGTTAAGGGGGCAGACTCATTATAGACACTCTTTTTTTTTTTTTTTCAGTGATCTTGATGAAACTGCACAGGCTTTTGCAGTTTTTTATACTGATTTAAAATATGCAATTACTTTTCCTGTGACTCATCTTATTCCCAAGATGATGCAAGTCGACAAGATTGTCGTGTACTGCAAGTCGACAGATTGTCGTGTACTCATCTTATTCCCAAAATGACAAGGTTGTCATGTACTTCAGGCCATTTTTTAGGGACCTCTCAGAAAGGAGCACAGCTGCCTGAACTTCCATTTCGCCATCTTTTTTTTTGTACTATGTTTTTGGCACATATGGCTGTCTTGCCAAGCTTGATATGCCGGGTCGTCTTCCTTCGGTCTACGCTCGCACCCGGCACAGTAGTTACTCAAAACCACATAGTCCATCACTAGGCCATTCAAGAGCTGGATCACTGCCCCCACGCATATGTGGGATGAGTGCCCGCGCGTCATCCACGAGCCGTCATACGAGACTGCAATACTGTCGGCATAGTCAATATGCAGCTCCTTGTACAGCTTGCAAACTGCGCTCGCGCACTCGCCCATAACTTTTTCGGACACGCGACTAGCTGCAGGTGTCAATTTCTGCTTCACATATCCCTGTCACGTTTTCTCGTGAAGTCTGCGATGAGATATATTCATGGTCGAAAATATATCGTTCCATAGCTGCTTGACTGTTCACAGTAGCCTGCATGGCTCGAGCGGTGAGAATATAGACGGTGAAGGGGTTCACTTTCTCGGTGCCACCCACTCGCGGAGAACTCCATGCTTGCGCGATGTCCCCACAGTTCACGCAACGCGCACACATTTTCACGGCAAGGCCATATTGCCTGTCCTGAGTAAATACTGACGCTTTCGTTGCAACTTTTACATTTCATGGAATCGAGCAGTTGACCGATGCAGCCAAGATCGGCGCTCAAAAAACTTGCCTCCTCTTCGCTTGGTCGTTCTACAAAAACTCATATTTTCTCTTCGACGCGGCAGTCGACGCCAGTTCCTGCAGCCTTGAATCGGCCTTTGTGCTCTTTACCTGCAGCTGCGATTCCGTTAGCAAGGTTGTGTCACAACGAACGCAGCCGCTGCTTTGCCAAGCGTCTGTGGCTGGCGAACCCACTAGGCCTAACTCCCCGTCGACTGTCTCGGGCGCCTCGGCGATTCTTTCGCTGTCCGTGGACGAGATGGGGGTTGTGGAGTCTCGATGTGGGCAATGTTCATCTGCACGTTCCAGTGATAGATGTGCTGGCAATGCGTCAGGTTTGGGAATATCGCAGGCTGGCGAGGCCGTCAGGCATGCGTTGGCGGCATCGGCGGGCGACCCATCTCGTTTTTCATTGACGCTACTCACCAAAAGAAGCGCCTTAAAGTTGTTCGCCTGAGCCTTCTTTCTTTCTTTACCGAACTTATGACGGGAATGAAATTTTCGTGATGATCCAGGCATTGCAACAACTTCGATCACGAGCATGCTAGTCAAAGCACAGGCAGTATGGCAGCACAACACGTTGTTGATGCGCGAGCAGACAATGCGAGCCCAATCAGCCAATGAAGTAGCCACCTCGTGGTCACGTGCGCTCAACTTCCAATAGTGTCGCGTACTTTGCTTTTTTTTGGTTTTTTTGGCAATCAATGAGCAGAGAGAGTATTTGAGTGGGAATTGTAAGATGGAGAAACGCGCTTTCAAATGAGACCAAGATTGTGGCTATGGCATTCGGCAAACGGTATCTCTGCGTTGTGAAAAAAGTGGTGTTTTTTCGCCAGATTCTGCGCAAATCGAGCCCTCGAGACCTCTTTGTAATGATATAACAAGTAAATTATCGCTTTCTGGAGTCTGAAAATTGGCAGGCAGGTGTAAAATTGCTTGCAGAATTCAAAAATGCCATTGAAAAAAAAAGTGTTTTGTAATTTTTCGGTCCCAAAGATTCATCCGCCCCCCTAACTAGGGTTCACAAGATGCTAGTTGGCCCAGTGAACACTTCGCAGCTCTATTTATTTCTATGTACAATACTGCTAGCCCCTACGTAGAGACCGTAGCAGGGTAACATTTTCTTTAGTGCAGAATATAGCGAAACAGTAAAAAAAGAGAGAGAGAGAAAATTTAAAGGATATGCATTGCTTCACATACTGCAGTAGACTCTCAGTAAACGAAACTCTCTTAAACAAAGTTGATGACTAAATGGAACAACTGCCTCTATTATGATTTGTTTCGTACTTGTATACTGCACCAGTATTCATTCCTTAGTAAACGAACCTCCTGTTAAACAAAACAATTATTGGCCCCTTCAGGTTTCATTGAACAGGAGTTTACTGTATTCTTAATGAACACCTCAAATTGGTGTATGTTGTCGACTTCAACCCTTGTACTATCGAGCTTGTTCCACTCGCCCACCAAGCGAGAGAAAAAAAAAAGAGAGCTCTTGAAAACATTGTTCCTCGCTGGAAAAGGCAAGATATTTATGTGCCTAATCATATGATATAACTTGCAGAAAGCAGGATGTATTTGTGAGTGTTGCTTTTTAATCTGCCTTTGACAACATTAATCAAGAACCGTAGGCATGCAGTTTTATTTCTGCACGGTAATGCCCGTAAACCTGCTCTACCTTTTAGTTCAGTAAAGGATATATAGTAACCTATTAATTACAGATAAACCTGACTGCATTACTTTGCACCCATATCAAATTATAGATAGCTGTCAAAGTGCAGACATGGTCGGATATTTTAGCGTAATTAGGATCTTGGCTTGTGTTCAAAAGGGGTCACACACATAGTAGCATGAAATGGCTGTTGCAGAGGCTACGCCAAGTGGTCAACTTGATGCAGAGGGCTTCAAGTGAAGAACTGCTGACGTTTGAACACCACCAAGAATGGGTGAGCCTAGTCCTTTCTTTCTTTACTGCCGAACTACTCCAAGTGAAGTACTGCTTTAGTAGCACTGTATGTTTGATGTGATGGACGACTGTTTTCGTCATTATGATGGTGTATGCTTTCAGTTGTATTGAGCTCCAGGAAATGTAAAAAATATACCGTTTTAATGACTGCAAATAAAAAGGAAAACAGAAATAAGGAAATCCCACCACACTTACAGGAATATTTTTTGCCTGTTTTGGAGCATTTTTTTTCCATAAACAAAATGTCACCAATATTTCAAATCAGTAGGTTTCCTTTATTCACAAGTACTGTAAAAAAATAGCTTGATGTTTCGTCACTGCACTGTCTGAATTACATCACACTGCTCAGATAATCATTTTCTACTTCCATTCAGAACTGTGCAGATTGGTTGCTCAAAGTGGGTTCCGCGTGCACCTCCTCGTGGTGCGCGAGCCACTGATAAGTTTCCTCTTGTTCCCCATTTGCACGGTCACTTAGGTGGTGAACCTGAGGTGTGATTGATCTAGAATACCTCTATTACTCTCGCGTAAGTGTCAACAAGCACATCTCTGTACATACCACAAATGCGCAATCTGCACAGCTAAACCTTCCAATAGCTTACAGCCAGCCAGACTCCAAAAACAGGCTGCAGGGTAAAGCTATTGCGTTTGTATCTAGGAGGCCTTATATTACCCCCATGTGCATTCCTCCTGTTGGAAGTGAGGTGCTGAATATGCCCGAGATAAGGCTTTGAACTGGCTGCAGCCATTTGCTACAAAATATGCTTGTGAGCGGACATTCTTTACACTAGCCTATCTGAAAAATAAGCACCGATTCGGCTGAATCCAGCAGCCCACGTGTGGCTGGCCCCAAGTGTTAATTAGCCTCGCATCGATTTGTTGGTGCAAGGAAAGTGAGTGTAATTGCATGTCCGTGAATAAATTTCTTATACAGTTAAATCTTTATATTATTAATTCTGCAATATAACAAAGTTTTATATTCCCTGCTGTTACTCCATAAAAGCACATGTATTTTCGACCTCTATGTAGCACAGTAACAGCAAGAGACATCTTTAATATAACGAATTTTTCCCATGGATGAATTTTGCCTCTAATTTCGTCACTTCGGCACGAGCAAGCATCTGCCACTCACTGATGCCCCGCCACTGATGGAGTGCGAAGGGGTGGCGGCGTGCACAGCTCTCCTGGCCCCAGTGAACTTCAGGTGGAAGCGAGCGCTCGTTATGCGCGCAGGTGTGTGACAGGCGGACAGGCCCCACGAGTCGGCATTGTCATCGTTCTTGCCGCCGCGAGCGCATGCACAGATGTGCCCTCCCCTCCTTTCTCCAAACCAAAAACAGCAACAAAAAAACCCCAAACTTCCCGAAGAGAATTGGGAGGAAATGCGAATGCATTGCGTAGTCTTTATAACGGTGTTTCGCAAGTGAGAACCCAGCATTAGAAAAATAATGTTTTCTTCTTTTTCTTACACCGTGCACCCAATAGCGCCATTCGCCGCACATGCCATTTTCTTGTTGCGAGAAGCTCGGTGGGCATTTCCAGCTGTAGTAGCTAGCGTGCACTGTTAAAAAGTTATGAAGTAAACAAAACAAACAGCGCTCTCAACTCTGCGTTGGGCTTTCACAGCGGCGTCTCAAGCACACATTTCCGGATGTTCCTCAGAGGCGCCCAGCCAGCGAACAGTCGAGAGTCAGGCGTAAGCAGACGGGAAAGTGGACATAGAGAGAAGAGCGAACGACGAGAGAAGAAGCAGCAAAGCACTGCACCTACCTTCTCATATACTCTCTCGCACCGCATGCTCTGGTTGATAGGGGCGATGATAAGCGCGCGCGCAGCTGTTGCTCTAAGAGAGGGCAATAGACGGATCTTGACGCGGACGCCTGACATAGCGCGACTAAGAAATTAATTTGCATTTAAATTGGAATACTTGTGGGGCTGCACTGCATATGAAGGGCCCTTTAGCAAATAGTTTTTCGCAGCATTAGTGTCATTCACACTTTGTTTTCAACTCCGTGTGCACTTGCATGGTTTCACTGCGTGCGTATAGTGTGGCCCCCGATGACATACAGCTTTGCTCTTTTTCTTTCTTCTTTATTTTTAAATGCGGACAATTGTGTCGTCAGTACTGAGGGAATGTCAGGTTAGGCGCTGATGGAAATTCTTTGAGACCACGGCAGATCCTTGGAGGTCGACTCGTCACACGCTTCAATCTTGCGCCCCATGGCGAGTTCGCGGGATCGCAACCTTCGTGATTGGCCGATTAGATGTGGCAACAACACAACGGCGCGTTCAGTACTGCAATGAATGTGGTTGCAACAAATTGTAATGTTATATGAAGTAAGGCTAGTAGCCAACTCCTTTGGATGCAATATTGCGAAACTCCTAAAAAACACTCGTGTGAGCAAATACGGCCACTTTAGGGAGAAGTGCTCTTTTTACACAGTCTCTCCGCATTGAAAGCGCACTGATACTTGCCGAGATAGCACGCACACCAGCGATCATGACCGCGTAAGCACAATTTTAACAAAAAATATGCGCGCACAACTCTCGAGCAGAAATAAAAAAGCATTATACTAATGTACAAAAATAAATAAAAAAACTAAATAGCTTGTAGGGCCTCACAAGCCACATGTGGGAAGGGACAAAGAAAGAAAATCAAAACAATACATTTGATACAGAACCATATTATTCTTCTTGCTTCCTAATTCCGAATTTGAGGAGATCTATAGTAAAGGTATAGTCATTGAGGAGGTTAGGAATCTGAACAGCAAGTTTTTGTTCCCCGTAATTTGTTATGCTATGTTGTATAGACACAAAACTATTTCTGAAATAATAGCCTGTCTTTTTCACACTGTATTTACTCTGGAAGAATCGTTTGTCAGACTCAAATTGCCGCATAATTTCAAGGAATAGTTTATATGTGTAGAGTTTGGGTGCCTTTAATATTTTATTTTTGGAATAATATGTTTGGGTGCTTATCATCGTAGAGTTTCCTAAAATTAAATAGAGAGGACTCTGGCACTACGATCGTTCAGCGACCATGGAAATGATGGGTAGTACACAGATTTGCCTAGTCTTCGTACTTGCGGAAGACGAATCATACTTGCGGCTTCGTCTATTGCTGGTTTCGGTTTCATTTTGAAAGGAAGAGCGAACCCTTTTGAACTTTCCGATTCAAAATGGTAAGCCTAAAAGAATAAGGTAGTGAAGTGCAATTGCTAAACATTTGCTGATTTTTGTTTTGTGAGAAAATAGCTCCAAGCCACATGAACACACACTGAGCCAGAAGCAAGTTAGGAGTACGAAGATTAGACAAATCTGTGTACTACCCATCATTCCCACGCTCGATGAAGAACCGTGCGTGGCAGTACCCATATACACTAGCGCCAGCGTTCCCTCTGGTTTATATTAGGAAACTCTATGCTTATCATACGTCCTAAGTTTCTATTGCACTTAGCACACGGTTTTGAAGCATTTGATATGTACCTAAATTGTACTGTGTTGTAGTCGACCAGACTAGAAGACACTATGGTAAACGGGAATCTATAAGTGCATTATAGATATGGTGCTTCACGCTTGTTGGTAGTAAATATCGCAGCCTGTTTAATATACCTACAGGGCAGGCAAAAGTAGAGTCTCTACATATATGGTGACCAGGACATGTTCTCAAGGAATATAACTCCCCAGAATTTTGCCGTGTTTGACTGTTCATTATTTACTTTTTGAAACTTCAGCTGAGGATGACAAGCCGTGTTCGTTCCTTTAGATTTAAAGAGCAAGTCTTTTGTTTTACTTACGTTTAGTTGAAGTTTATTTGCATTAAGCCACATATATAATCTTTGCAGCCAGGTGTTGGCTTGTTCGAACTTGCTCTGCAATTCCCTTCTTGAGAAGAACATGCAAGTGTCATCGGCATATAGTATAATGTTAGTGTGGCCCTGTACCTGTAAAATATCATTTATATAAAACAAAAAGAGGACAGGTCCTATAACGGAGCCTTGGGGTATGCCGTAATTAATGGGCTGAATTTCAGAAGTAGCGCCATTGATCTTAGTGTACTGTGTTCTTGCCGTTAGGTAGCTATTTATTAAAGATAAAGCAACGCCATGAAAACCATAGTGAGGTAGTTTTTCGAAACGAATGTTGTGTTGCATGCAATCAAAAGCTTTTCTAAAATCAAAAAATAAACCAAGGGTTAGCATTCGGTTTTCAATATTATTGAACCTGCATATAACGAAACCATCTTTATAATAAATTTTTCCGGGACTTCTTCAATTTCATTATATCGAGGTTTTTCTGTATGCCCTTGCTTTTGAACTTATATTGCTTGTGAATGTACCAGAATGAATAGTGCTTGTAGAAAAAATAAAATATAAATAAATGTTTTTAAACAAAAGAATAGTGCTTGTATTAAAAAAAGCAGGGATTTCTTGGCACTTCATGGAGATAAACGTGGGGTTCCCTGAGACCATTATGCTTAAGGACTCCTGCCGTACAGTGTACGTGAGATGTCATTGAACACTTCATTTTATCTGCATTTTCATTCCCTTCTAACAATATCGCTGCCATGCTACATGCGGGGTTCTCAGAGGCAGTGATACGATGAAGGGAGAGCACCGACATGGACATGTATATCTCTAGTGACAGGAACTGCAACTAGTATACATACATTGACAAGTGCAATTGGCATACGTTCGCAGTGTGACAAATGTTTGTTCCTGACTATAGTCGTCATTGTTGACTGAATTTCATTACAACCATACTCATAACTTGTTTAAGGGTATTCCAAAAAGCTCACATTGTGTTATGCATAGTGGTACATAAAATGGTAAGTGTATTGTGTTCACCAGTCCTGACTTATGTTTGGAGCATCTAAATAGAGTGGCTGTAGTGGAATGAGGTGGGATGAGCAGCTGTGGAAGTATTTTTTTTTTAATCGTGTTCATCAAGGTTCCATAACCTTTTAGAGAGATGCAGCAGTAATTGACCACGTATCTAAACAAACTAAACCTGCCCCGTGGGCTAACTTACAGTTTGTTGTGCTTTTATCCAGGTCAAGCTCCTGCAAAACTGTAAAGAACATGACGCTGCTTTGGCCTGTGCTCAGGCAAGTGTCAAAAGGTGGGCGAAGTCGGTTGAAGCTTGGCTTCTGCTGCTTGAGCTGCTCATTGGAAGAGGGCCTGGGGCTGAAGATGCATTAAAGGCCTTTGAAGATGCCCTGTCTGCCATATCGAAACAGGTGAACTACTCATCCTTTACATAACTGTGCATACGTTTAGAACATCTGGGTAGGTGCTAGTTATGCGAAGTCAGTGGCTTGCTTCTCAAGTGTTTCTATTCTGTTCGAATAAATGTACCGTGGAACCCCCATTATACGACCATCAGGGGACCACACAATATTGTGGTATAACGTGGGCTTCATATAATCGAAAAACTAAGAATAACGGCAGTGGTACCCAGCCTTACCCTACAAAAAAACGGGTGCAGACCACTTGAATGAGCCGATGGCGCAACCTTGTGCTTCTCTAAGAAAGATAGATTAAGTTAGTTTTGAAATCAGCAGCTAATGGTAGCATTACTTAGCTGACAGGGACGTGAATCAATCTTTATTCTCAAAAAAAAAAAAAAATTGAATCGGATGCGCATTTTTCTTTCAATAAGTCGAGTTCAAAAATTGCCTGTGCATGCAAATAAAACCTAAACTGCATTGGCAACAACCTTCCGTCACGAGTCAGATGCAGTGTCTTTGCCATCACATAATGCCGACAGAGTGCAAGCTTGTGTCGTTCGCGTAGGATGCTTTTGTGCGCGTTGTAGTGTGTTGCCTTGTGAAGTGCGAGTGCTGACGTCCCACTGTTACGAACATTTACGTCAAGCAAAAGTTATTTTTCAAGGTGAAAATAGCTGTGTCGCATCCCTTTGTGTGTGTGCTCAAGGCGTGCTACTGCGAGTGTCGCAGACAAAGGCAAAAGATCAGCTATACATCAACCAGAGAAAGTTGCCAGGGATCGAAAACATGAAAACATCCGGATATCAAAGATGACCTTTTCGGCAAGCTGAAGCTACTTTGTGGATAGATGTTGTCTAGGTAATGACACTGGATATGCATGCGATCGAGGCGTATACAGAAGCACATGAACTTCCAGGAGAATAAGTCTTGCATTCTGAGACATGCTATCTCACTCTCTCTACTTTTCTTCTAATCATTAGGTGGTCTAGTGGCTAAAGTACTAGGCTGCTGACCTGCAGGTCGCGGGATCGAATTTCCTATGGAGGCAGAAATGCTGTAGGCCCATGTGCTCAGATTTGGGTGCTATTTTTTTCTACAAGGCTGAATGGGAAAGTTGTCCCAAGATGCAGTGTCGGCTTAAAAATGCATTCTATAACCAAGGTTTCTAATGCATTAGTTCTATGGGGACCGAACCGATGCATCTTAAAATGCGGGTCATCTCGAAACTGGTGGTTGTATAATCGACAGAGATTATAAGTGACGGAGATTTATCGAACGGAGAATGTTGGGGAAGCTGTTTCGACAAGTGACTTTGCTGAGGCGGCAATTGCCATCATTAGCTTATGAGTGCTCAACTCACTCCTCCCCAAACGAACGCACTGGTCCTCTCTCTGTAAAGGGTGATCAAGCTGAGTCATGTTTGCCCAAAAAGAGAATGGCATTTATGCAAGGGCATCAGTGTCACAGGTCCCGTTAATTCGGGAGGCGATCGCCGGGCTAATTCCAAGGGCCGAAGTATCGGCCCCCCGAACCGCACCACGAAAGCGTGGACAATTTAGAAGTGGTCCTATTTGGCGCGCCAGCGGACGCCGGCTGTGGCCCAAAGAACAAGTCGGAACTGAGAGTTAATAAACAAAACAAAATTATATTCTCAATTATGGCAGATCAAAACGATACACAAGTACACACACTCGACAATAGTTGAATACGATCTGTCACCAATCAAACAACGTACTACGCAGTACAATCAGCCACACTCGAAACAACGGACACAGACAACAATACGCACTACAATGCAGTCGCATGCATCGAACAGCCAAGACACTTAAAGACTAAAGAGTTAGAAAACTTATTCAGTCCAAAGTTCTTGGAACAAAAGTCTGGATGATACTCTTCCGAGAATCACTCAAAGTCCAGCGTTGTTGTCGTTTTGCTGCCCCTGAAGTTTCTCTTCCAGGAAACCTCGCGTGTTCAATTGGCCGCTCTCCAGGCTCCAAACTTCTTCGCCGGAAACACGTCGGCTTCACACACGCAGCTGTTGCCACGCGTCTTCGCTCGATAGCGGTAGACACACACTCTTGCCTGTAGCTCGAGTCTTCACCCCTCAGGTGGAAATCCTCTTCTTCTCCTCCTTTGTCACGGAAGACAAAAGGCTTCGCCCACAAGGCGGAACACCCTATGCACTCTGGCGCATACTTTCTTCTTGTCCTGCTTTGTCACTAAGGCACCGACAGACGCGGCGGAATAACCCCACGCACACTGGCGCTAACCTCCTTCTTCTCCTGATCTCCCATCTCTGCTGCTCGGTTAAGTACCTTCCGCGCGAGATTCCAGAAAATTCTCATCATTTCGTCGGCGCGATGCGCAGCGAAGGCTGGGGGAAAGCGCGAGACGGTTCGACGGCCGTCCGCGACGGATGACGCAACCCGGCATCACCACGCCCCTTTCCATCGAGAGATTTCCAGGGCTTGCTCGGCCGCCGATGTGAGGTGAGGAGGTTCGTCGGCGAACCTACGCTTCCGAGAGAGAAGAGGGACGCGCGCCCGGGGAGTCTTTGGATGCTTGTTTTCTTTTTTTATCGTTGACCTCGCGGCGTCGCTCCGGCGCGAGAATTTGGCGGCGCGCCCTTTTTGAGCGCTCGTTTTGTAACAATCAGTTTAGCACCAAGCAACAAAACCTAGCAAAGACTCTGTCTGCCATATGGCGAGAATGAAGAGGTGGTGTAATTGCATCAATGTAATGACATCAACAAAACTGAACAGCTAGGCTAATATGTGTACTTATCAAACCCAGCTTTGAATGTTATGCTGCAGTAGTAAAATTTTGTTAATATATTTAAATTTCATTCTCTGACAGTTTACTGTTCTGCTTCTAAATGTCACTTTGGTGATGCTTTTTGAATATGACTCCTGTATGTGCTTTATGCAAATCGTGTGCTACTTTTGAACATGTTGTGCTACTTTTGAACATGTTGAAGAGTCAACTCAGATGAGGCCATTCAGAAGTGGTGTAGAAGGTGCACCGTGAATGCCACTTGGTGAGGTTTATTTGTCCTGTGCCATCATGCTTCTGTGCAGGAGTCTCTGCCAGTTTGGAGGAGAGCCACTGAATTTCTGTCATCAGAGGTCCCAGAGGAAACAATTCCTTTTCTTGAGGTAAACACTGCTGCAATGCCTCTTGCTATTGATGATCATTTGATGCAAGTCATAACAAAGGAAAGGGGAACTAAAAACATTTTCGAGTTCTAGTTAAATAGGTTAATTTTGTCTAGAAATGTAGCCAACAGGTCACTTCTGGCTGAGAGAATTTTTTTGATGAACAAAACATTGGTGTGGAATTGAACAGCTGAAATCAAATGATGACAGATGTGGGGGTGCTAACACTCTCTGTAAAGTAGTTTGCGTCTTGTGGCGCATGTATTTCGTGCATAAGCCACATTTCGAGTTCACAACTACCGAGCAGTAGGTGGCGTTGTGCTCGTGAGCATTTGTTATCACCACCACCACCATCATCATCGTCATGGTTAGATCGGTAGTGCCGGCGGTAACCCCTGGCGGCAAGCTTTGGTGGCGGCACGGGAGAGTTGAGCGAGTCTCTTTTGCATGTGGCATTTTGCACAAAAGGATGTCTTTCGCAGTGGGACCCCGGTGCGCGGCACCGCGGGCTGTCTGCAGGGGGCCCTTGTGGTGAGTCAGGCGTTAGCAACACCGCCTTGTTTGTCATGTTGTTGAGTGTTGTGTAATATTGTTGAAGGTTGTTTAGCGTGTGGATCACAATTGATGTTATATTAATTCGTTTCACGATATCGTCATTCTAAAGAATGCTGCTTCGCTGTGGTGGTAGTGGCTAAGGTACTCGGCTGCGGACCCGCAGGTATCGGTTAAATAAATATGAGTTGTTTGGTTTGTTCCGATCGTGTCTACTGTGTCCGTTTGCTTCAAGAGCATGGCGCTCGCTCTCCATTTCGAGACCCAACACAGTGACTGTCCAAGTGACAGGCTGTTATGTCTTTTTTTTTGTAATTTGTTGGGATACTTTTTGTTTCAGCATGGTTCTGTTAAGTGGAAGTTGAGTTTAAAGGTCAGTTTGTTTTCTTTTTTTTTTGTTGTTACAGAAAGCATTGTTCTACCCAAATGATGTGTGCATCTGGGCAAAGGAGAAACTCCTCGAATTGAAGTGTTTGTACCATGGCTACAATGCAGCACGGAAGTTCTACAAAAGGTTTTGCAGCTTTCTTGTGTTCATTTTCTTAATTATTTGTTTTATGCTTTTTGTGTTTAGATTCAAACCCAGGGTTGGAGGGAAACCTGTCTGGTTGGGAAAATTCATGGCGGGAAATAGCAAGCACGATATACAAGTGCTATAACCTTGGCATGATGTAACACAGACTGTGTAAAACTAATCTAGTAATATACAACTTTGTCAAAGTAAGTGTGTCAAAGTATGAGTTTTGCTCTTAACCAGAGAAAAGTACAGGTGCCACATGCTATCATGTTTCCATTCTCTTGTGTGTCATCAAAAGCTGCATTATCTCAGATCATCAATCTTTTATCACTTTTCAGAATGCTAAATCTGAAACCTCTATCAGTGAACTTTTTCCAACGCATGATTGACTTGGAGAATTCCAGAGTGAGTTTCATGTGCTCTGTTACAATTTGTTGTGGTGATCCATCGTTTTAAAAAATCGATCCTTTGTTAATTTTGTCCAACTATATTGGCCCAGGTTCAACCGGATGCAGACAACTTGAGGAGCTACTTTGAACATGCAGTAGCTGAGTTTGGAGGATCAAATGTTGGTAAGTATCAGCCCGAGTGCACATACTGGTTCATTATTTCTAGGTGGCTTTTACGAATAATTTCAATTTTGTGCTCTGAAGGGAACTCACGGGTCTGAAAAGTTGCTGTGTCGTGCGCTCGTAAAGCAAGCAAATAAAAATCAAACGGGCTTGCTAGGAAACAATGAATGTTCTTAATGGCATACAAGGCTTTGCGACCAAAAACTGAGAAGCTGTCAGGGCTACATTCAATTGTACAAACAAGAGGAAGACGGGTGCTATAATTATATATTGCTGCATGCATGTTGACATTTTGTGGGACGACGCCCGTGTGTGCCTGACTAAGAGGATGAAGAGTGGTCAACCGGTCTCGCTGCTGCTGCTCGTTTGAAATACCGTATTTACTCGATTCTACCGCGCCCTCGATTGTAACGCGCACCCGATTTCCACCGCGAAAAAAAAAAAAAAACGTAAGACATCGATTGCAACGCGCACCCATTTTTTCTCGCTGGCCCGCATGATCACACCACTCGAAAAAACGACTCCTTTCGGGAGCGTCTTCCATTTAAATATGAGGTACGGGCGAAGCTTGTGCCCATCTGACGTGTAACAGAGCATTGCCGTCACTGTAGTTTTACCGTGGACCGATGTCAGCACGCGAACTTGCTTCGCCCCCTTCTTCTCGACGGTTGTGGTGCCAGGCATGTCGAAGTAAAGAGGCGCCTGATCGGCATTCCCGATTTGCCCAAGCAGGTAGTCGTTGTTGCGCCGCAAGTTTAGGACGAACCTCTGAAAACTGTGAAGCTTTTCATCGTACTCCTCCGCAAAACTTTTCGCATATGCATGTTCCCCTTCGGAGGGAAAAGCCTTTCCTCTTCATAAAGTTAGTGAGCCAGCACCTGCTCGCTTAAAACTGGCTCCGCATTAGACACTTTTCTAAGACTAATTGCATAGCCCGCACTTGGAGCAGTTCTGCCGTCACGGGCCGCTGTGCTGCTCGCTGCTAAAGCACATACTCGCCGAGCAGCTCTTTAATTTGCGGAAACCGACCCTGCTGTGGTCCACTGAAGCCTTTGCGTAGAGCTTTGCTGTCGAAAATCTTCTGCTTTTGTTTCCGCCGGTCCCGCACGCACGTTTCGGGAACTCCAAACGACCGCGATGCGGCCCGATTTCCGTCCGTTTCTGCACACGCGATGACTTTTCTTTTAAAAGCGGCATCATGGTGCACTCGAGTTTTTGGAGTCGGCCATTCCACGCCGTCGATGCTAATGCACTACTAGATGACGAATTCCTTAGCACACGTACGAAGTGCCGCACATGAGAAACACATAGGCAGAAATGGACGACGCGCCATGCCGACGCACGTAGGGGGCGGCCATTTTAGATTTGCCGATGGCAATAGATTGGCCGTAATTTTTTTGTTCGTACTCGATTCTAACGCGCATGCGATTTATGAACTCACTTAACCGGAAAAAAGGTGCGCGTTAGATTCGAGTAATTACGGTATATTTCATCCACAGCCTCGTCGATACGGCGTCTCTTCTCTCTAACAATATAAATTAAAATTCTTCATACAGGGTGTATTAATATTTGGATTGTTAATGCCATGATAGTTTATTGCAAAGGTCTCTTCATAGAGGCTGTAAGAATATTCGAATTATTTATGTTGTGATAGTTTACTGCAAAGGTTGACAACCCTGTGGCCCACAGGCAGTCTGCCAATCCTTGCAATAAAATAAAAGTACCTTTTTTTTTTCCTGAAACAACGGCGACTGTTTTTTGTGGGCAATGGGACACAGACATCCCACTTTTTCGGATACACTCATAGGGCATTGCAATTATGCTCTCTTTTATTCTTGAAAATGCTTAAAAGGACACTAAAAGCAACGATCAAGTCAACGTTAGTTGTTGAAATAGTGGTCCAGAAACCTCGTAGTGTTGCCTTTGTTCCAAGGAAGTGCTTATTTTGAAATAAAATAACGTTTTAGTGGTCTGCATTAGGTTAGCGCACTTCAAATTAGCCGCCTCAAGCAGAACGTCTCGCATTACTGTTGCCATGCACAATATTGCCCTGTCTTACTGCGCGGTGGCCACCGACAGTAGTAGCGGCAGAATGAGAGCAGCGGGAACCGCAGATGCAACAATGGCCATTAAATGATTTCCTACCATTGGCTTAGAGATGGCAGATGTGCTTGGTTCAACTGGGCCCTCTAGATGGCACGACCTGTCCAGTTTAACCAGGTAAAAATTGAACTTTTTAACCACTCCCCATAATAACGTCCGGCGTTTTTTTTTTTTTTTTTGATGCGAATGCATTCTTAATCAGGATAAGCTAGCGCATGCTCTTATCCTTGTCCCTAGCAACCGGAGCGTGTGGTGCGCGAGTGTAGGAGAGGGTAGGTGCAGTGCTTCGCCGCTCCTTCTCTCACCGTTCGCTCTCTCTCCTCGCTGCGCCCCACTTTCCCGCTCACTCGCGCCTCACTCTCGACGGTTTGCTGGCTGGGGGCCTCTCAAGAACATCCTGAAAGTGGGCTCGGGACTCCGCTGTGATACGCCACGCCATGCCAAGAACGCTGTTTGTCTTGTTTTGTTCACTTCATAGTATTTTTTAACCATGCACGCTAGCTACTACAGCTGAAAATGCATATCGCTTATGTTGCGACAGAAAAGCGTCACGTGAAGCGAACGACCCTATTGGCTGCACGGTTTGAAAAAAAAAAAGAACATTATTCTTCTAACGCTGAGTTCTCACGTGTGAAACGCCGTTATAAACTCTACGCAGTGCATTTGTATTTACTCACGGTTTCTTTCTCCCTGGGTGGGTAGGGAAATTTTTCTTTCCATGAATTAAACAGAAACAAACAAACAGCATTTCATTATGTTTCTTGATGCACGAAAAGTTCTTTATTAGTGCAGCTAGTTCAATTACTAGTCATTAATTGTAAGCTGTAACTCTGACATCATCAGGATCATCCTGCAAATGTCCTACTGCGGAGCGTGCGAGTCCGAGTGTGTCCGGTTGACGAAAATATTTATGCGTCTGAGTCCTAGCGAGTTTGCTTCAGCGAAATTTTGGATAGCATGGGTTAGCACCGCACAAGTTCGGCCCGCCGGTTTTCTTCTTTGGTTTGCTCAAAGTTGAATTGCATATCTTAGTTTCATGTCTATTGAACTCGCAAAAAAGACATTCAATGCGTCCTTGCCGCAACGCTGCCGATGCATGTAGGATTGATGACGGGTAGCTCAACATGCAAAAAACATAATTAGTGAGTGAGTCTGCATGAACTCCATTTATTTTACCGATCTGTGGTTACAATTATTTAGTCTCCATTTATGGCGTGCTTTGTAATCATGTATGCTCCGCTGTGTAAAGCCACAGAATTTATTTTCCAAAATATAAAGCTGCCCATTTATCCTCACCCTTGGAACTAATTGCAGTGGAGGTCTTCAGTAACAAAACCGCTTGTATCTTTGAATAAAACTATACAGTCTTCGCTTGTTACAGCAGACAGGCATACAATGAACTTTCGGATACAACAGACCATTATTCAGGCTAAGTTTTTTTTGTGTATCAAATTAACGGAGCAAAGTTTACTTTTAATGGACCACGATACAACGGACTATTGGCTACAGTGGACGAAATCAGCGACACTTTTTGACGAAATCGGGCGCATAAAGTGGACTTTTACCGTGTTGACGCAGGCTGATAACAGACTTCACCACGCCGCTCTCTTTGAGCTAAAACCATGGTAATTTTAAATGGCATTGGCAACATTAGTGGCTTCCGGCCTAGCCATGCCTCCAGCCAAGCCAGTCTGAGACCACAATGGCGCTGTTGGTCATGCACGGACATAGCTAGCTGATGCCATTTTGTCATTGTGTTCACGTGCTTGACTGTTCTGTCTGTTCGCAAGTTTTGAGGTAATGGCCTTCAGAAAGCAGAACTTTTCTGGAGGCCATTAGTCCGCTATCATGAGCGACAAGCTCAAGGTAGTGAACGCGGTCGCGCAAGGTGAGAAGTAGGCGGACATCGCAAGAGCAATGAAACTGTTCAAGCAGACCGTAACTTCAATGAACAATAAGAGTATCACTGGCAAGCAAGTTGTGGGGGCAATGAATCTCAAGCACTTCAGACTCTGCAAGGCGATGTACCCGGACGTTGAGTCCACACTTTTAATGTGGCTGCGTGATGCCCGATCTCGTGATGTTCCGGCCAACAGACTATTGCTGAGGAAGGGGGCCGAGCAGCTAGCTGTGATCCTCGGACATGACAGTGGCGTCACTTTCAGCCACGGATGAATAGAGCGTTTCAAGGTAAGGCACGGCACCACATTCATGCAAGTTTATGGTGAACGCAACAGCGTGAGTGTCGACACCGTCACCGAATGGCAGACCAGCAAGCTACCAGTGCTTCTTGCAAGGTACGACGAGAAGGACCTATTAATTGCAAACGAAAGTGGTTTATTTTATAAGGCTAAGGCCGAATAGGACGTACACAGTTTCTGGCTGCCAGTGCCATGGTGGTAGGCGCTCCAAGGAGTATTTGTCCATGTTATATTGTTGCAATATGAGCAGCTTCGAGAAACGAAAACTGTTGGTGATTGGGAAAGCCACAGCCTCGGAAAAAACATTCCAGTCGAATGGACTGCGAATACAAAGGCATGGATGACGAAAGACATGTTTAAGACCTAGTTATTGCAGTTCGACTGGGAGATGATAAAGCCTAAGAGAAAGATGCTGCTCTTCCTGCTCCAACCACGTGAAGTCACCCGAGCTGGCAGCAATTGAGCTGGCCTACTTGCCGCCAAATGCGACCTTGGTACTTCAGCCGATTGACCAAGTTATCCGTAAGGGCTGCCTACCGTGCTCACTTTGTTGAACGTTTGCTCTTCGACATTCGACATGCAAATTAATTGGGCGTCAAATATAGACATCATATTTACTGTCGAAGTGTTGGCGAGCGTTTGGCAACAACTGAAAGGGGAAGTAGTCAAAAATTGCTTCATGAAACCTGGTTTCCAACAAAATGATGGCATATCCAATGAAGAGTTGTTCGTCCCAGATGACGAAACATCAGACCCGGCTTTCGGGGCATACAGCTTCTCTGACATTGTCACATTTGACTACAACGTCATCGATAACAAGGAGCTACAATCTAAAGCTGTTTTGAGCTGTTATCAGACAGCGACAGTAAACACGAAGACGAGTACCTTGCTGTCGGGCTGACTTCGCAGCAGGTGATTGACCACATTGATGAAATGAAGGAATACTTCCAGAAGCAGCAAGATGACTGCAGTGTCGAAGTGTTGCAGCTGAGTGAAATGTGGCGCAAGGTGATAACAGCATTGCTCAAGGGTGCTCGCCAATCGCTGATGACTAATTTCTTTTCGAAGTAAGTGTAAGTAAACAGTTTGTGTTTTGCATTAGATGTTCATCACTCATTGCAGTAATATTGTTAGCACCGCAAACTATGTTTTGAAACCAAGATGTTCCAGTGCTTCGAGCAGGTGAATTCTGCTGTCAAATTAGGTTATTAATGTGAGAGTTGCCTTAGTGCCGCTCAGTTCAGACCTCTCAGACGAACTTGGGGCCATTTGGCGATTCTTAGAAGGGGGGGGGGGGGCTGCACTTTTGGCAATAGGCAGCCACACTTCAGCAGATACGCCTTCCCGTCCTCACAAATAAAAATTTATTCAAAGCCGATAAACAGGAGCGTATGAAAAACCTTAAAAGAAACGTTTTATCATCGGACGACTAAGTTTTGTTGCTGTGCAGGAGCTACATGACGTCCCTGCACTTACTGTAACGGCGCTGCATTGCATTTTTCATAACCCCTGCTAGTGATTAGGTCTTTTGTAAACGTGCTGGAAAATGCATTCAGGGCTCACCAGCAGAACTAGCCTGCCCCATACTGCTCTAACGATCGTCACACGGCAACGCGATTTCCCTCTGCGAAGTTTGGATTTTACGGACTTCGAATATAACGGACTCATTTTACTGGATTATGATGGTTCATTATAGTAGACTGTATTTACTGAATAACAACTATTATTACTTTTACTTAAAAAGTAATCAAATTGCACCACAAAAAGCACCAATCAAAGGAGATGACATTAAAATCCCAACATGGTTAAATAGTTAATACCATGCTAACACAAGGTATTCTGAAGTATTGATAGCACCCTACCTCTCGAATCTCATGCAGTGTATATTGCATACTTTAAGGCACACAGCTATTTGTAGCATTTTTAGCAGTGTAGTTGGTCATAGAGCTAACGCCTCTTGCGCAAGCGTGATTTATAAATTTAAAGTTTTAATTTCCAACGAGACATCACGAGTTCCTTCTCAAGGAACCCATAATTCTTGGTGATGTAATAGCGATTTTATATGCATTGCATTAGCTCCAAGTTTAGTGCCAATAGGTAATCCATTTATAGAATGCACCATTTCATAATTAATTGATATGTGGAGTTCAACGTCCCAAAACCACCGTTTGATTATGAGAGACGCCGTAGTGGAGGGCTTCGGAAATTCATTGCACTGCATTGTTTACCACTGTGATAATGTAATAATAAGATCAAGTGCGTACAGTTTTTAAAGAAGTTTACTGCAAGCTTTGACAATACGAATTATGGTTCTAATGGCGTCGAAGACGGGACTGCAAATGTTTTATTGGGCTTCAGGAATACCGAGCACAGCATATAATACCGAGAAAAATACACAAGACATGACACAAATACAGCCACAGCAGCACATCCCGCCAATGAATAACCTGAAAAAAGTAAAGCACCGTGTAACGCAAAGCATCAGGTATGATGCTATCGGTATGAGAATAAAGCTGAATGAGACTGTGACATCGTTGCTTCGTTCGCTTTCTATTGTAATGTTTCCCATTACAGTGGAGTTCCAGTATGATTGTGCACACAAGCAAATGGGCTTTAAGTGCATATTTTCATTGGGAACTTGCTCACATGCAAATTTCTTCACCCACAGCAACTACCATTTGGTAATGTGCCTTGCAACATAGGACCCTTCGGACGACGTAGGAGCGACCGCTGTGTTGTATATGCTGAAATAGCTCGATAACACATGGCACGTATTTTCCCGCATGGTCTGTAACTCAATGGTGCAGAAATGTTGATTGATATGTGGGGCTTAACGTCCCAAAACTATCATATGATTATGAGATACGCCGTAGTGGAGGGCTCCGAAAATTTTCACTACTTTGGGTTCTTTAACGTGCATGCAAATCTGAGCAAACTGGCCTACAACATTTCCGCCTCCATCGGAAATGCAGCCACCGCAGCCGGAATTCGATCCCGTGACCTGTGGGTTAGCAGCCGAGTACTTTAGCCACTAGACCACCGCGGCGGGGCTGCACCATTTTATAGCTTCAAGTTTGTCTAAGATGCAATAGCCGACTGTCTTCAAAGCTTTTTTGTATTCATGAATGCATAACTTTGCCATTATTATTGGGCAGGACTAGAATATTGTGGTGAGCTTATGTGGTCATCGAGCCGTGAACACGTCACGAAGTAGCGATTTTCGCGACGCACAAGCAGCAGGCGACGATCTCCCGGAGCGAGCATCGGGCCAATGGCGAGGCGAGCTGAGGCAACATGGCGGCCACAGCCAATCAAGGGCCTCAAAGCGACCTTCAAACATTTGCTTTTTGTGCACTTGTTTTTAAAGGGAGGAGCCAGCTGTGGCAGGAAAGTTAAACACGAGAAATGCTCTTTCCGATGAGCCCAAAAAGCCGGCTCCCGGCCCAGCCATCGTGAATCTATAATTTTTTAAAAATTGCTGTTTTCTCGCCGTTTCCAAAAAAAGTTTCACTATCTAGGTGAGTGAAACTAATTTTCCGAAGCACTTCTGCGCAGTTTTCAGTGTAGATATTTTGGAATCAGATAGAAAAAGGGTTCCAGAAACTGAAAACTTGATTTTCAGAAAATCGATTTTTTTGGCATTTTTCGCGATCCTAAAGCCGCGTCCCCCCTTAACTTGTTCCACAAGAAAAGTCACCCGAAATTCCTATTGGTTAGGACAGGTAATGCTAGTTTTTCTGACGTGGTGCTTGAGTGTGCTGTGTCATTTGAAATTGAATTTGTTTTTGATTAAAACCAGTGCTTCTATGTCTTGGTGCTGGTCACATGCTTTACTGGTTGCACATTTGAAGTGTCCTTTCTAAAGTGTTAATTCTCAAATTTTGCCTTATTCAGCAACAGGAAAGGTAGCAAGGCTCCCTTTCTATTTAAAAGCCAATTGCCATGAAACAAGCTTTAATGCCAGTGGTGTCCACGTGATTCATTTTGTACAATCTGCGGCTTTCCAGATGTCTGGATGAAGTACATCCTCTTTGAGCTGAAGCACCCAGAAGGAAAGCCTGAGCAAGCGGGTGTCCTCTACCACAGAGCTGTGAAGACACTTGATGATGACCTCACTAATCACTTCATTTCAGCCTACTCTTTGATGGACACCAGAAAATTGTAAACAAGTGGCTAGTGTGGTGATTTGAATTGTAATTTACTGCTTCACCTGCCAGATGTTGTTATGTTGCACATTTGATACTTCTTTTTAAACTTTCTTCTTTCATGGAGGGGCCCCCTTGGGGTGTCTACTACAAATACAGTTGCATGGCCCCTGCTGTGTCATTATCCATAATTATGTGGAAAAGTGAGGTGCCTGCTACACATTTGCAAGGCATTATGTGCACTTTGTTGGCCTGTTACTATGTGTGGGAAGCTCGTTATGCAATTTGCATTGTGTGATGCCTGGCTGTTATTTCACTCCTCTATTACATCTATTACCATAATTCTTTGCCCAGTATAGGGCCTTTTAAAAAAGGGGTTTCTAGCTTTGACATGGCTGTGTGGCAGGATGTTCACACAGAGCTCCTGGTTTCAAATCCCGTATGATTGTGGATTTTTTTTGTGCATGATAGCAGTTATGGTCACAGGCAGTAGCTGTAGCGGACAATTGCACTGCCAAAATTGGCTGTTGGTGTGATTTTGTAACAGCTTTCATTGTAATATCTCGTATTGAAAATGAATTGCTCCGGCCTACCCAAACTTGGCATCTGGCAAAGTGAAATCATGTGTGCCTCCTTAAGAATGAACAATTGTACGCTTGTCAGTGGGGTCACCATTGTTACTAAGCCGAAAAGTAATGCAAGAATCGCCTATAATGGGGGTGCCTTTCCACTGCTGGGTAAACAGCGACAAGCAAAGCTTTGCATATGTGCAGGACCAAGTACAATTTTTTTCTTTAATTCGCATTGTGCCATGATCCCCCAACTTTTAAAGGGGCCCTGCGACAACAAATTAATCATATTGTTTTCATGGCTTCTTTTTGAACTGTAGAGTGCACCAAACCTCGTTGGTGAGGGGAAATGCCAAAAACTAAGCTGTTGTAATTTTATTTCTATGGGAAAACACTTTTTTAGGACTAGAGTGACACACAGCAGCTAATTTTTTAATCAAGTAACGTTTCACCCCGTGGGAATGACAACACAGAATGCACGTTTTGATTATCCCGACACGCGTAATATTAATACATTCCTAGATAGAGCACACCGTTGTGCATTAAATAACGATAAAAGCACGGTTTATACTTCTTCATATACAAAAAGATTTCGCTTTTTAACATGAAAGTATGAGAACAGTTGCAAAACGATGCAAAAAGGCGCTGCACGATGACCACCACGATGCTTGTCGTATGCCACATCTGTGTGAGAGGGGCGTGGTGATTAGAAACAGCCTTTGATGTCAGTGGGAGAGTGACATGTTCAAGGGAACGTTTTTTTCGTTGTCTGGCGGGGCTCTGAAGTTTGAAGGCTAATAACATAGGTTACTGTAAAGTGATTTCAATCATTATTTTTGCGTTCGCCTCTGTATTCAGCACTATACGAGCTCCAGAAATCAGACGAAAAAACGACGGATGGCTCCTTTAAGTGCGGAGCATTTAGGCGGCCAGGCTGCCGTGGGCTTGTTCACACCGAAAGGGAAGTAACAAAGTGGGAAAGCGAGCTGTTCGAAGCAGTGAAAGCGCGCATCTGTTCAAACCTCATGCCTCCGCGTGGCAGAGGAGTCTGGGCATCCAGTGCTTTTGTGCACGTGTCGCTGTCACGTGTAAATGCTTCTCCCAAAGATAAGATACAGTAGCGCCTGCACCGCGTGGCGTTCTGATTAGCTGCAGTGAAGCGGCGACCTTGACCGATCTTGCCGCACTCCAGCAACCGCACTTGTGTGGCTTGTGGCAAGATTGGTCATTTTGAATCTGTCTGTATTCTCGTCTTCCAATTTCTCCCAACGCAGCCTACTTGTCTACTTCTAGTGCTGCGCAGACCAGCATGGTCATTGTCTTGAATGTGGATGAGCTCCACTAGCTCACAGAACTGTGCATTGCAGTTTCCATCGGTACTGTTTCATTTTCGTTTTTTGTCGACACCGGTGCATCTGTGTCATTATTCAGTGAGTGCCATTGTTCATTTACTGGCATTCAACTGGCATCTTCTTCCATTATCCTTCAATCGTATTCGAAAGGAATTATTGAACACTTTGCCCAATTTAAGTCCACCATTGCTTACTGGAGCGTCATGTCTCCGGTTGCATTCTACATCACTCGAAATGGCCAATTCCTTCTTTTTCTTTGAAAACATTGCCTTGTTCACCAGCACCTGCTGCAACGAACCTTCCTGCAACAGTGCCTGCTCCAAGGACATCTGCGTCAACCGTGCCAGAAGGGCACTGTACATGCCCTTCTGGCACGTACAGTGCCCTTCGTTGGCACTGTACGTGCTTCAACTGGTGGTGCGTCCAGCATATGGTCACCTCTTACTACTATGTTCGTTCAGAACACTCACGCAATCACAGTCACTGTTCCACCATGGTGAATGAGTACTACTTCTAGTTGACTGCTTACTGAATTCGGCTTCATCCATAGTGACACCTAGTAACTGACATAAATTAAGGGCCTTTACGTGCTCTCTTTGTCCTGCCTGTTCATTTAAGCTTAATTGGAATGTATCCGTATGTGTAATTAACATAATTCCGGACATATTTGTTTGTCGAAGTATGTGGGCATATTATTTTAATCAATATTGGAAGGTGACCACTATTTGTGGCCGATGTGATGGTGGACCCTGAGCTAGAAAAAGTCAGGTCTATCACAGAATGTGATAGGCCAGATAGATAAGTGGGGGATCGTAAATTCCCACACTGAATTATGATAACCGTTTGCCACAGGCATCGGATCTATAACGCCATGATATGTGGCGTGAGTTGAAATCTCTTGCGATTATTATATTTTTTTTGCACGCTGCTACTGCAGAATCAAATAAACTAGTATTTGAAATACCCTGTGAGAAAATAAACATTGACTACTGGAAAAGGTACACAACCAGGAATAGATAAATCTACTGCTAAAACTTCACTCTCTGTTCATGTGAACTGATATGTTGTTTTCACTCTATGGGCAAATCGTTAAACCCGCTCTACATGAACGTTGATCAAAGCGAATGCAGAGTTATTGCCTAAGATCAAAACTTTTTTCTGTAGATAATCATGTTTCTTGCGATAAAATAATTCAGGAGAAAATTCGGTTCAAAGATGTGAAAGACCAGTAGCTACAGCGAGCACTGAGCGACAGTTCCACTGAAGCACTTTCAATGATCCCATGTTAAATGTAAACCAGTGGCCTCAACTGCCTTCTGGATGACGTCTTAAGAAATCATCGTTCCTCAGCGAACTGCTGTCCTGGCACTATTTTTTACTTAAATCTATATAGAAGAGTGTATTTTGGGGAGTAATAGGTAGCCCGGCGTTTAGTGGCTCTACTGTCCAAATTCATATTTTCAACAATTTGTGAAGTGGTCTTAATCATTCTCACCGTCCTGTTCACAAGTAGTTTATTCTTCATTCTTTATTCATGAAATACCCCACAGCACCCGAGGGAGTTATAGGGGGCGGGGGGTTACATCAATGAATGATGTACATCATCGTACGCACACAAAATATATCAATACCTGAAGTACACCTTTGTTCACACACATAATACAGTTATTTTCACACGTAAATACATCTTCGTTCAGCTTACAGCATGGGATTACAGCATTGAATAAAATACATCTTCATTCTATAGTCAAGAGTCCGACGAAATCCCGTCTGGTCGGGGACAAACATAGTGCAAAATAACAAAAATGCCGACGAAGGTGAAATACACAAAAGTTAAAGAGACGTTTCGGCTCCCCACACGGGAGCCTTGCTCACAGTGCACTACGTACTTGATTTTCATTTAGCTTATTAAATCCGAAGCATTTTCTTGCGAACTTCAGTGACTTTGAGCGTATCTATCTATCTATCTGTCTGTCTGTCTATCTAGCCGCCTACGACTTTTAGCTCTTCTGGCCGTTTCGATAATGCTATATCTACCAAACTTGGTATGGCATAACATGATGGACTTGGTATGGCATAACTTGGTATGGCATAAACTTGGTATGGCATAACATGACTGTATGAAGAACATATTTGACTAGTCTTAGCATGAAAATCATGACGTATGTCATGAATGCCATGATTTACATTTAATGGTCCCGCAGCTCTTGCGGTGGTTTCAATCACGTGGCATGTTGCAAAATTGGTACGGTATGGCATGATTCCACGGCGAACACAAGCGACAGACTCTAACATCAAAATCATGAAATGCGTGTCATGTAACAACATGACTACATGCCACGCTCACGATGTGCTCGTGGCCGTTTCGCTAGCATCACATATACCAAATGTGTTATGGTACGTGAATAGATGACGAAGGTATGTGACTAATGCAAACATGATAATCATGAGATGCGTGTCATGTAACGACATGACTATATGCTACGCTCATGATGCGCTCGCGGCCGTTTCGATAGCTTCGCGTCGCAATCTACCCGCTTAAAGTCTATTTTGCCCTCCCGGTCCCTAAACCCCAGTGCTTTGAAAAACTCTGCGCCATCATTCTGAACTATAGGGTGAAGCCCTTTACAGAACATTATCAAGTGTTTGCAGTTTCTTCTTCCTCTCCACACGCACTGCATACTGTGTCTACCCCTTCGTATTTGGCCCGATATGTCTTGGTTCGCAGTACTCCCGTTCTGGCCTCAAACAGTAGAGAACTACCCCGAGTATTATCATAGATCCTTTCCTTGGCAATTTCCTGCTTAAAAGTTCGATAGATCTCTAGTGCGGACTTCTTAATCATGCCCATTCTCCACATGTCAGTCTCCGTTTCCTTCACTTTCTTCTTAACCGATAGTTCTTTTTGGTTTGGCCACCTGCTGTTTTCTAAGCATTTACCAGTCAATTTTCTGGTTCGCTTCCTCCATTTTGTATCGACATTCTTCATGTACAAGTAGCTGAAAATCTTCCTAGCCCAACGCTCCTCCTCCATTTCTCTCAATCGCTTCTCATATTTTATCTTGCTGCTAGCTTCCCTGCCCTCAAATGATGTCCATCCCATATCACCTTGTACTCACTGATTTGGTGTATTCCCGTAAGCTCCTAAAGCAAGCCTACCTATTCCACGTTGCTTAATTTCTAATCTTGCTTGAACTTCTGATCTCATGCACAAGACCGCATTGCCGAACGTCAGCCCAAGAACCATGACCCCTTTCTATATTCCTCTCACAACATCATACCTATTGTAATTCCACAGTGCCCGCCCCGCCGCGGTGGTCTAGTGGCTAAGGTACTCAGCTGCTGACCCGCAGGTCGCGGGTTCGAATCTCGGCTGCGGCGGCTGCATTTCCGATGGAGGCGGAAATGTAGGCCTGTGTGCTCAGATTTGGGTGCACGTTAAAGAACCCCAGGTGGTCGAAATTTCCGGAGCCCTCCACTACGGCGTTTCTCATAATCATATAGTGGTTTTGGGACGTTAAACCCCACATATCAATCAATCAATTCCACAGTGCCCTATTTTTCATCTACTGCTGCATTCCTGTTACCTTTAGTCGTCACGTATATTTCATGTTCCCTCAGGTACTCGGTCCCATTCTTTATTCATACGCCCAGATATTTGTATTTATCTGTTATCTCTAGCGTGACCTCCTGTATTCTAAGTTCACTACCTTCGTTGTCATTGAAAATCATGACTGCTGATTTTTCCTTACTGAATCTAAAATCTAACCTATCTCCCTCATTACCGCAAATGTCCATCAATCTCTGCAAATCTTCCTTGTTGTTCGCCATTAGCACTACATCATCTGCGTACATTAATGCTGGTAGTGCCTGATCAATGAGTTTTCCTTGTTTAACTAAAGAGAGGTTGAAGCCCAGTCCACTTCCCTCTAATTTGGCCTCTAACCCTTGTAGGTACATCATGAATAATAAGGGTGACAGGGGACACCCCTGCCTAAGCCCCCGTTTTACCTCTGCAGGCTTCGATACCTGTTTTTCCCACTTTATAACTACCTTGTTACCTTTATAGATATCCTTTAAAAGATTAGTGACTACATGTTCCATGCCTAGTGTGTCCAGTATTCCCCACAATTCCTCTTGAACCATGCTATCGTACGCTCCCTTGATATCCAAAAATGCTAGCCACAGGGGCCTGTGTTTCTTTTCTGCTATTTCGATGCACTGCGTCAGTGAGAACAGATTGTCTTCCAACCTCCTGTGTTTCCGAAACCCATTCTGCAGTTCCCCCAGCACCCTCTCATCCTCTATCCATGCCTGCAGTCTTTCCTTTATAATCTGCATCGCCAGCCTGTAGACCACTGATGTCACTGTTATAGGACGGTAGTTGTTTATGTCAGCTTTGTCCCCCTTTCCTTTATAGATCATGCTCATCCTGCTAAGTTTCCATCCATCGGGAACTTCACCATCGATTATTATTTTGCTCACTGCCTCTCTCAAAGTCTGCTTAGACTTCGGACCTAATGTCTTTATCAGCATAATTGGAATGCCATCTGGGCCTGTTGATGTACTACTAGGAACCCTTTTCTCAGCCCTTTTCCACTCTCGTTGTGAAAATGGAGCCATTGCACCACTTGATTCGTCCTTGTCTATTGTGGTGCATAAAGTACTTCTTTGTTGAAACTTTTCTGTAACCCTTGTTCTTATATATTCAATAGCTTCGTCCCCTTCTAGCCTAGCACCATGGACTGTAGTTATAAAACTCTGCTCTAGGCTCGTCTCATTTCTTAGGGAGTTTAGATGGTTCCAAAATTTCGCAGTTGCCTTTCTATCTTTTTTATGTACTTTTGCCAGCCACTGGGCTCCCTTTCTTCTAATCTTTTCATTGATCAGAAGGGATGCATCCCTTCTACAGCTTAGAAAGGTTTCCCATTTTCTTTCAACATCATCTGTCGGTTGACCCCGCTGCTTAGCATGTCTGTGTTCCCTAGAGACTTCCTGACGTTTTTCTATGGCTCTCTTAACTTCCTCATCCCACCAACTTTTGGGTTTGTGTCTTCTTTTCCGGGGTGACTTGTCATGCGTCTTAGCAAGCTCTAGCTCAAAGAGTCTAATTAGATTCGTGTATGTCCACACTGTCTTATTATCCTCCGTGATTGCTTTCTCAATTTGTTTAGTAGCTATTTTTATTTGCCTTTCTGAATAAAAATTTTCCTGTAGTTGCTGATCTTGTCTCCTTCCCACTTTCACTGCTCTTCCAAAATTTAGCTTGATACGTTTGTGATCACTACCCAGACTTCTGGAGCCACCTTCATCTATGTGCATTTCCCTGAGCTTATCATACATCCTATGTGACATCATTGCATAATCTATCGTCGACTGCAGCCTTCCTACCTCCCATGTTATTTGCCCTTCACACTTCTCGGTACTGTTGCAAATGATCAAATCAAGCCTTTCGCACATATCCATGATCATTTTGCCTGTCGGGTCGATATACCCATCTATATTTTCTATGTGTGCATTCATGTCTCCTAGTATAATTATCTCGCACTCTCTTCCTAACTCCTGAATGTCCTTTGATATACACTCTACCATTGCCTGGTTTTCCTCTCTGACTTTTGCTCCCGTCCACAAGTACACAAAACCAAGGAGTGTCATGTGACCTGCCACTTTCCCTTTTAGCCATAAATATTCCTTGCACTCCTGCTTGACCCTTTGCCGGTCTGTACTTTTATGAATGAATGCCCCAATACCACCCCCCTTCCTGCTGCCTTCTGTTCTATTACAATATTTCCATGCGTAGTCCGGATTGTTCGGAGGTTGTTCCATGTCCCCGAGATGTGTTTCTACAAAACCGTATACCATCGGCCTCTCTTCCCTTAGCTGTTCTTCTATCTCTTCCCACTTCAGCCTGTTCCTACCACCCTGCATGTTAATATACCCTATGTCTGAATTGGCTCGGCGCT